GGGGTAGGTATAAAATTTCAAAATGATATATAGGAAATAAAGAAATAAATATTATGTATGATTGAGTATCTCTTTATGGAAAAACAATTATGGAGCTTTCAATGTCTTTATTTCTGAGCCACCAAACAAAGAACTTAATGAAAGGATTAAATTTACATGTAACTTTATGTGTGTGGCGTCGTTTTTACATCTTATGTGGTAGATATAATCTTTTGAACTTATATTATTATTATTGAATCTTTCGTCTTTTGAGTGTGAATTTGACTCGAGGACTGGAGGACTATGTTCTCGAGGTGGTCTTGTAGTCTTCAATTTTTTGAGAGTTTTTTGAATTATGTCACTTTTGAATCGATGGATATTCTATATACAGAGTATTAGTGAGTCTGGGCTTGGATAATTTTAGATCGAACCATTGGATTCGGACATTGGGTCATTGACCCAATCCTCTTCGAGTTTTAGTGGGTCTAAATTTGAATGATTTTAAACTTAACTCTTGGACTTGAGTCCCATTTTGGTGGATGATATGCTCCATTATCTTGAGCGGATTTAGACTTATTCAAATTTTTTCGCAAATAAATTATAAATAAAGTACAATGCCTAGGCTAATTTGCACTTTGGCCAAATTATCACATTTCGGACTTAATTTGATGATGGGTCATATGACCCAATTTGATCGAGGAAATCCGATCAAATGACCCTGAGAAAGATACGTGATATTATTTGAATTTGTCATTTTTTTTGTCTTTTCAATTTTAATTTAAGAAACATGTGAATTCGTAACTGACCCAAATTTAATAACAATAGTTGCGTCATGACGTAATAGATTGTGATTGACCAAAATTTAAGAGCCGTTTGGTAACATTCCCGTTTCTTGTTTGTCGTTTTCAATTTTGTTAAGAAATCTAAGTATTTTTCAATTAACTTTTTTTCTTGTTTCTCATTTTTTTTGGTAACATTCTCACAATTGTATAGAAATTTTGGAAACAACCAAAACTAGTTTCTCATTTCTTATTCTCATTTCCAATTTGTTCCAGTCGGAACCATGCAATAGATTTTTCTTCTATTAAAAAATAAGAAAACAAAAACAAAAACATGAACGTTACCAAACGAGCCCTAAATTACTTAAACTATTAAATTCTTCCCTTTTTAAGTGGAGTAATGAAAAGTTTCTTGACAAGGCTTGATAATATGGTAGGAAAGCTACAATTAGATTAATCTTGAACATTATATACTTGACAATAGGAGAGATGTTTAAGAAGTAAGCTAAGTAACCTAAATCTACCTTGTTCATGTGAAGATGCAAGTGAGGGTATTATATACCATTAATATGAATAAGATAGAGATTGCAACATATTTGCTCTTTCTTTGCAAATTTGTTATAAGAAAGACAAATATATCATTAGATTGTCTTATACACTAATCTTGATTTTGAGTGAATTATGAACTCTTGTTTGCAACGTCATGTCATTTGATATGCATAGATGAGAATAACTTTGGATGGTTTATTATGGACTTACTATTTTGGATATGAATGAGGAAGTGATAACATATAATGTCATAAGATGAAATTCACTTCTCGTAACGAAGGTAAATATAATAGTTATTTTTAACTGCTAATTCAAGACTTGAACAATGGACCCTAGTAGCTTGAGATATATTAAGTTTACGGATAAGCAGATGATTCATTGGAAGATCAATGATACCTAAGGAAGTTGACTTGCATGCAACAATTATTCTATGTGACGAGTTGATTTGCATGTAACAATTATAGATATTCGTGGATGTTTTAACTGTGTGTAGATAATGCATCAGAGTGTAACTCTAGATTTATAGTAGGATAACCTTTGTTAATAAGTAAAAATAAATTATTAGATCATGAGAGCTAATAATTTGTGAGTCCATAATTAATTAAGGTCCTCTTGTTAGTTCTTGCTTTCGAGAGGGAAGATTGTCAATATATCCCAACCAATAAACAAAGCATTTGTTTAGTACGTTTTGTTCCCACTCACATGTTTTATAAGAGGTCATCTAACATCTAACATATAATTTGTATGAGGTTTAAGTCCATAACTTTGAAGTTTAATTTATATAAATAGCA